ATACAAGGTCATTTCTTAATTATTGACATTTTTTAAGATCTAAACTCATTTCGATGTTACACTCATCGAGACCTTTCATTTAAGTACCCACATGCATTTTTGATATATTTTTCATATATACATATATGTAATATATATAAATATATAAAATATATGAAAAATTGATGTGGGTATTCAAATAAAAGGTCTCGATGAGTGTAACATCAAAATGAGTTTATATCTTAAAAAATGTCAATATTTCACAAGATAGAATGTAATTTCTTAATTACGTATTTAGTGATAGAGTATTTTTAAATGACACGAATGCTATAAAATTATAAAAAAATTTAATAAAAATGAAAAGTCCTTTAATGTCACGCAATATAAAGTCATAATTTTTATCGATTATTTTATAACTGATAAAATAAAAATCAGGTCAACTGCACACGCGTTTTCCATAAAAGAAGAAAAATCTTTATTTTACATTTAATTAAAATAATGAATACTAATTTATATTTAATGATAATTATAATTTTAGGGTGACAAAGAAAGTAAACTGAGATTTGCATTCAGAATTTATGACATGGATAATGATGGATTTATTAGTAATGGCGAACTGTTTCAAGTTCTCAAGATGATGGTCGGTAATAATTTAAAGGACACTCAGCTTCAGCAAATTGTTGATAAAACAATTCTGTTTGCTGACAAAGATGAAGATGGAAAAATAAGCTTTGAGGAATTTTGCTCGGTAAGATTTATTTTACTTTAAAATTTTTTTACAAAAATAAATAAATTAATTATTATTTTTTTTATAGGTTGTTGGTAATACTGATATACATAAGAAAATGGTCGTCGACGTATAATTAATTAAAAAATAATTTTAAAATGTAAAAAAAAAATCTATCTTCGACATCATTATTGCATAATTACTTAAAAAAAATTTTACAATTTCACTCCATCTAATATTAATTATAAAAGGAAGCTAAGATCTTATTAAAGTAATAATTGTTCATTATTTTATGATAAATATATATTTAAATAATTTTTTTTATATCCATCAATATTATCAATCGTGTCACTTCAAATTATGAGCACAAACGAATATTAATTTTGCTCGCTAATTCTATTAAAGTCTACCAATTTACAATTTTTTTTCTTTTAATTATTTATTTTCTATATTTTTTTTTTTTTTAGAATTTAATCAGCTTTAATAATATTCTAAAATTTATTAAGTTATACAGAATTTTATTAAATTAATAATTATTATTGTTACTAAGGGTGTCCAGATATTTAGAAAAAATTTTTTTTTTTAATTTAATTAAAAAAATTAATTGCATTAAAAATTATTACCTCTGTAAATTAATCTCATATATATTTACAATTAAAATTTCAATATTAATTTATTTATTTAAAATTATTTGTACACTCTTATTTATTAATTTATAAATATTATTTAATGTTCAAAAATTATAATGTACTTTAATTAATTTTTTATGCAATAATCCGTAAATTACATTAGCGTTAATTCGCTATTTTCCGTAAATATAATAATAATAATAATAATAATAATAATATTAATAAAAATAATATATATATATATATATAAAATATATAAAAAATACCATGTGGGTACTCAAATGAAAGGTCTCGATGAGAATAACATCGGGGTGAGCTTATATCTTTAAAAATGTCAATAGTTCACAAGATACAAGCTCATATCTTAATTATGTATCTAGATAGATATTAATATAGATTACCGAAGAAGTTCCGGCAGTAACAAGCCCGTCTTTTTGGAAAATCGACGGTAATTTTTTCAAATCTTCAATTGTAGTTTGTGGGCGAGGGTGTTCGTCGACAGACACTTCAATTTGTTTCTTCTTTATGGTCATTGAAACTGGTGCCATCTCAGCTTTGAAGTAACCCGCGTCATTGGCGGCTTTCCAACGTTGCTGACTCCGTAAAGCGAACTGATCAACTTCTTCCCTTGTAACTCCATATTTGGCTCCTAATTTCTCCGCTGTGCCGCCCATTGGCAAATTGCAGTAACTGTCAGCTAAGCCTACCCACAGCGCATCTTCAAAATCTATTTTTTGGCCCAACATTGTTCCAAATCTAACATTTCTTACTACAAAAGGCGTCTGGCTCATATTTTCTGCACCACCTGCTAGTACTATTTCAGATTCTCCACTTGTTATACTCTGAAATAAGAAGAATATTTTTAATTAAAGAAGAATAGTACATTTTATAAAAAAAAATTTTTATTATAAATTTTTTGGAACAATTAAAGAAACAAAAAAAAAATTTATAAATTTTTTATAAGGTTTATTTAATTAAATGAAAAACTATCCAAGAAGAAATTTAATTAATCTAATTTAGAGAAAAAATTTTTTTTTCTTCCTTAAAAATTAATTTTGAAATGAAAAATTTTGTCAAATTTTTATGATTAAAAATTTATTAATAAAATTTATTCATAAATTTTTTTTTTGAAATAAGAAATTAAATTTTATAAAATCAGTTTGAAATAAAAAAAAGTTTTGTAATTTTTAAACTTTAAAAAATAATATTAATTAATTTAGAAGATATTTAATTTACTTAAAAAATAAATTATGGCAAAAAAATTGACATTTAGAAATTTTAAAAAGTTAAAAATAAAATTTGTTATAAAATTAATTAAATAATAATTGATCATTTTTATAATCACCCAAAATAACATTATATAAAGAAGAAATAACATTTTTAATTAAATTATCTATTTATAGATTGTAATTAAATTTTAATTAAACATACCTGAGCAGCATTGACAATTGATTGGAATCCTGATCCACATAACCGATTAACACTTAATGCAGGTTTTTCAATAGGAATTTCAGATTTTAATAATACATGTCTTGCTAATAAAGCACCATCAGATGAAGATAACTACAAAAGTCACAAAATTTATAATTAAAATTAATTTTAAATTTATAAAATTTATTAAAGTATTAAAGAAGAAAATTGTATTGACAATTTTAAAATAAAAAAAAAATTATTTCTTCTTTTTATAAAAAAAATATTATTTCTTCTTTATAAAAAGAAGAAATAATTTTTTTTTTATTTTAAAATTGTCAATACAATTTTCTTCTTTAATACTTTAATAAATTTTATAAATTTAAAATTAATTTTAATTATAAATTTTGTGACTTTTGTAGTTATCTTCATCTGATGGTGCTTTATTAGCAAGACATGTATTATTAAAATCTGAAATTCCTATTGAAAAACCTGCATTAAGTGTTAATCGGTTATGTGGATCAGGATTCCAATCAATTGTCAATGCTGCTCAGGTATGTTTAATTAAAATTTAATTACAATCTATAAATAGATAATTTAATTAAAAATGTTATTTCTTCTTTATATAATGTTATTTTGGGTGATTATAAAAATGATCAATTATTATTTAATTAATTTTATAACAAATTTTATTTTTAACTTTTTAAAATTTCTAAATGTCAATTTTTTTGCCATAATTTATTTTTTAAGTAAATTAAATATCTTCTAAATTAATTAATATTATTTTTTAAAGTTTAAAAATTACAAAACTTTTTTTTATTTCAAACTGATTTTATAAAATTTAATTTCTTATTTCAAAAAAAAAATTTATGAATAAATTTTATTAATAAATTTTTAATCATAAAAATTTGACAAAATTTTTCATTTCAAAATTAATTTTTAAGGAAGAAAAAAAAATTTTTTCTCTAAATTAGATTAATTAAATTTCTTCTTGGATAGTTTTTCATTTAATTAAATAAACCTTATAAAAAATTTATAAATTTTTTTTTTGTTTCTTTAATTGTTCCAAAAAATTTATAATAAAAATTTTTTTTTATAAAATGTACTATTCTTCTTTAATTAAAAATATTCTTCTTATTTCAGAGTATAACAAGTGGAGAATCTGAAATAGTACTAGCAGGTGGTGCAGAAAATATGAGCCAGACGCCTTTTGTAGTAAGAAATGTTAGATTTGGAACAATGTTGGGCCAAAAAATAGATTTTGAAGATGCGCTGTGGGTAGGCTTAGCTGACAGTTACTGCAATTTGCCAATGGGCGGCACAGCGGAGAAATTAGGAGCCAAATATGGAGTTACAAGGGAAGAAGTTGATCAGTTCGCTTTACGGAGTCAGCAACGTTGGAAAGCCGCCAATGACGCGGGTTACTTCAAAGCTGAGATGGCACCAGTTTCAATGACCATAAAGAAGAAACAAATTGAAGTGTCTGTCGACGAACACCCTCGCCCACAAACTACAATTGAAGATTTGAAAAAATTACCGTCGATTTTCCAAAAAGACGGGCTTGTTACTGCCGGAACTTCTTCGGTAATCTATATTAATATCTATCTAGATACATAATTAAGATATGAGCTTGTATCTTGTGAACTATTGACATTTTTAAAGATATAAGCTCACCCCGATGTTATTCTCATCGAGACCTTTCATTTGAGTACCCACATGCATTTTTCATATATACATATATATAAATATATAAAAATATATAAAATATATGAAAAATTGATGTGGGTACTCAAATAAAAGGTCTCGATGAGTGTAACATCAAAATGAGCTTATATCTTTAAAAATGTCAATAATTCACAAGATACAAGGTCATTTCTTAATTATTGACCTTTTTTAAGATATAAACTCATTTCGATGTTACACTCATCGAGACCTTTCATTTGAGTACCCACATGGCATTTTTTATATATTTTATATATATAGTATTTGTGAAATATATAAATATATAAAATATATGAAAAATTGATGTGGGTACTCAAATGAAAGGTCTCGATGAGTCTAACATCAAGATGAGCTTATATCTTTAAAAATGTCAATAGTTCACAACATTATAAAAGTAATAATAATTTTTCAGGGAATTTGTGACGGTGCTGGAGCTCTAATTCTTGCCAGTGAAGAAGCTATTAAGAAACACAATCTGAAACCTCTAGCCCGCTTGTACGGATATACAACCGTCGGCGTTGACCCTAGTATCATGGGAATAGGACCAGCACCAGCGATTAAGCATCTTTTGAAGCTATCTAAAAAAACTCTCAATGATCTAGAGCTTGTTGAAATTAACGAAGCTTTTGGGGCACAAACTCTGGCTTGTGTCAAGGATTTAGGCCTTGATATTAACAAGTTGAATGTCAATGGAGGTGCTATTGCTCTTGGACATCCTTTAGGAGCTTCTGGGTCTCGTATTACGGCCCACATAATTCATGAATTGAGGTAAATTTTTTACAACATAAAAATTCAATTTCAATTTTATTTAACAAAAAAATTTGCCGTGAAAATTTATTTTTCAAAAAATTGCATTTTTTATTTATTTTAATTTCTGCAAAAATTAAAAAAAAATTGACAGGTGTTAGCTGACTTCAGTATTATAAAATTAAATATAATCAAAATTGAAATTTTTTAATAAAGTTTATTTAACAATTTAATTTTTAAATTATTTTTTTAAAACCACTTGTGAATTTTTAATTAAAAAAAATTAAATTAGTCTTGATAATTATAACATAATTTAAAATATAAAAAAAAAATTCTTTTTGAAATTTACAAAGCAAAAATAACTTTTTAAAAATTAATAAACTTGAAATAATTAAAAAATATTTAAAATGTACAGTTTGTTTCATAATTTAAAAATTAGGAAGCTATTAGTTTAAAATTAATTATCATAATTCTAATTATCATTTAATTAAAACACAATTAAATTTTCTTCTAACTTTTATTTTTTTCTCTCTATTACAGACGAAGAAATGCAAGTAAATTTGCTATTGGAGCAGCTTGTATCGGCGGAGGTCAAGGAATAGCTTTATTGATAGAAGCACTTTAAATTTATTAATTACTTTTTATAAATTTTTTTTAATTTGTTTATTGTTTTTAAATTTATGTAAGAATTTTTGTCTTGTATAATAAATATTTTTTTTCACGTTTAATTTTTTTTTACAAAAAAAAAAATTGGGTCAATTATGCAGCAAAGATCAGATTTATCTTCACTATACAAATAGTAGATAGTAATAATTGATATTGAAATAATCTGCATTTAGTTAAAAGAGATAATTACTGAAGAAACTAGATACTTTGCTCTTTATTGAGTATAAAGTGGTCTCAACTTATGAAATAAAATAAAATAAGTGCATAAATAAGAAGATAAAAAAATTTAGTTGATAAACTTGTTCAAGTGAGCTGAGTTATTAATTTTCTCTCCTTGTTTAATTCACTTGCAAAGTGTACTTCTCTTTATCTTTACTGTCAACTGGTGTCAGTTTTATTTAGAACGCTGTGTGAGCAGCTCATATAATATTGACGGATACAGTGTTTGCTAAATATTCATTTTTTAAAATAAATATTGGAACAAATTTTATTTATAATTTATAAATTGTTTTTTTTTTTATTAGTGTTGTAAATTTAGTTGAAATAACAATTTTTGTTTTTTGAGTTAATTTCAAAAATATTTTTTTTAAGAAAGTTTTGTTCTTTAAAATATAAATAAAATTGAAAATTGAATATTTAAAAATACTAATTTAAAAATTTTTTAATTTAATTTTATAAAAAAAAAAAAGTTGCAATAAGGTTTGTTAATAATTGAGTGGGAAGAAATAAACTTTTCTCCAATTTTTAATACTTAAAAATGTCATTTCTTCTTTTAATAATGTTACTATTTAATTATTATTTAATAAATTTTATAATTTTATAATAATTAAATTTCATAAAAAATTAAAAAAAAAAAAAAAAAATTAAAAATTCCATTAAAATAAAAATAAGAAGAATACTTTTCAATTTTTATTTTTTTTTTCTACTTTATTAAGTCCTCAATTATATACTATATTTTTATTTTTACTACAGTTTAAATATGACTCATAAAAGTATCTACTGTTTACATTTCTAAAAAACTTATGAAAGATGTTTCTTTCTCCCACTCTTTTATTTTATTGTAGAGCTACACACTGAAACGTCTAAAGTGTAAATAAGTAAATTTCTGATCAAAAGAAAAGCGTAAATAATCAAATTTCTGACCAAAAGAACTTTGCTAATGGAAAAATATATTGAAAAGTAATTTTTTTTTTTTAAATTAGTGAAGAAATATCAAAATGACAGATCACCAGGATGTTAGTAAAGATTTACCAGATATTGAAGTAAGTGACACATTTTAAATTTTAATTAACAATAATAAAATTAAATAAATTAGTTTTTACTTTAGAAAAAATTCAAACGAAGATATTTTTAAATATTGATTATTTTTAATTGTTATTAACTCATTATGTATCATTGACCTAATTTTAAAATATCATATCTTACTAAATGAAGAACATTGACTTTTTAAATTTATCTTAAATTAAAGTTCATAAGACACATCAGTGAGAAGGAAAAGAACAGTAAAAGTGACAGTGATATAAGAGATACAATGAATAGAAAAATTAGAGAAAGAATTTAAATTTATAGACCTAAAAAAATTTAACTTTTAATATATAAATTAAAAGTTCAACTATTTTATTATAATAAATTATTAATTTAGATTTTTATAAAAAAGAAAAATAAGTAAATTTATAAAAAAGTAACTTTTTGAATTTTTTTTATAAATTAGTAATTTTTAATTTATAAATAAAGAAGAAATTAAAAAAATTAAAGACGTTTATATTTATTCGTTAAAAAAGAAGAAATGTTATTATAATTTTATATAATACATATTTAACAACAAAAACAAATTAAAAGTTTTTTAAGAAGAATTAAAGCAAAAAATTATTATTTTAAATATTTATTAATAAGAAGAATAATTAAATTGAAGAAAAAAGTAATTTTTAAACATAAATAAAGAAGAAATTAAAAAAAAGAAAGATATTGATATTTTTTATTTGCTAAAAAAGAAAAAATATCATTATTATTTTTTGTAATATAAAAAACTAAAAGTTTTTTAAGAAGAATTAAATTGCATATATTTTCATGCTTATGATATATTTGACCAATCACGTTACGAATAGGGACCGATACACTTTCAGTTCAGTGTAATCCGAACAAAAACAGTTTCACTGTAAAAAAAAATCGCGCCAAGTCCACGTTCATAAGACTATTAAGAAAAAAAAATTAATTTTTTCTTTACAAAAAGATATAAAATAAAAAAATTAAAAAATCCGAGTAACCGATATGATATTATTCGTTCAGTTGAACGTTCGAAACTTCAAGTACATGAAATTTTTGCGTTACTATAGTTTGTGCTGATCAAATTTAGTAATTTAAAGTAGATTAATTGTTATAAGTGAATATAATTAATTAATAACAGTAAAATAAAGTATGAATTACTGTTATAATATACAATTTAGAAAAAAAAAAAGTACCGTAGAATTAAATAAAATTTTGCAACCTCAAAATACCGTTCTGCTTACAGTAAACACAGTCGGTAGTCTGGCGCTCCGTTGACAACGGATTTGAACGGAACTTGGCGCCAGATTCTACCGAATCTGTGGATTATACACTCTAAAGTATAACAAAATTATAATGATAAAAATCTGCCAAAAATCTATCCATTAATTAAAATAAAAATTAATAAAAATTGAAATGTTAAAATTCAAAATTTTTGCCCGTAATTTGTACATTTAAGTCACCAGTTGGCGTAACAGTCTAAAGGCTAGGTCCTTATAATTTGTTTCTTTGTGTATATTTTCTTATTTTTCATCTAAATTATACTTTAATTAATTAATTAATTAATATTAATATTTTTTTGTTTCAGAATTTGCTGAGTTTGAATCCAAAAATAAAACCCTACACAAATTTTGTCCCCTCTTTAGAAACAAAAACAAACAAACACCACTGGAAGCGTAACAACACCTTAAGTTGTACCTCATGTTTAAAAAACAACTTTGAAGACATAAAACACACGACCCTAAGCGAGCGCGGAGCGCTAAAAGAATCCGCAAGGTGTTTAAAATGCGCTGATGCGCCATGTCAAAAATCTTGTCCAACCCAAATCGACGTTAAGTCCTTCATAACCTCAATATCCAACAAAAACTACTATGGCGCCGCGAAGACCATTTTGTCGGACAATCCTCTGGGTCTTACTTGCGGAATGGTTTGTCCTACAAGTGACCTCTGTGTCGGGGGGTGTAATTTAGCGGCTACAGAAGAAGGAGCTATTAATATCGGAGGCTTGCAACATTTTGCAGTGGATATCTTCAAGAAAATGAATATCCGCGCGACCAGAATTCCCGGCCAGTTTGTCGAGTATTCTAATACTAAAATTGCGCTTTTGGGATGCGGACCTTCGTCGATATCCTGCGCAACATTCTTAGCAAGATTGGGGTACACTGAAATTACAATATTTGAAAAGGAAAATTATCTTGGGGGCTTAAGCTCTTCAGAAATTCCTCAGTATCGATTGCCGTATGATGTGGTTAGCTTTGAAATTCAATTGATCCAAGACCTGGGGGTCACAATTGAATGCAACAGAATGTTATCAGTAGACGATTTGACGATTGAAAGTCTCCAAAAATCTGGTTATGAAGCTATTTTTTGTGGAATTGGTTTACCAGAGGCAAAAGTAATCCCAATTTTTGAAGGATTGACTCCAGAAATGGGATTCTATACCTCGAAAAATTTTCTGCCTTTGGTATCAGGCGGCAGCAAGCCAGGGTTATGTAAGTGCATTGATAAAAATATTTATTAACTATTAATAGAGTTAATAAGTATTTATTAAATCCTATGTTAAAAAATCACTTATTAAGTTAATAAACGTTATTAATAACCAAATCCTTTTCAGCATGCAAATGCAAATTACCCAATTTGCACGGCAATGTAATTGTCCTTGGAGCAGGTGACACCGCATTTGACTGCGCCACATCTGCATTTAGATGCGGAGCGAAGAAAGTTTTCGTAATCTTCCGCAAAGGCTTCACCAATGTTCGCGCAGTTCCGGAAGAAATGGAGCTAGCTCGAGAAGAAAAGTGTGAATTCATTCCGTTCCAATCTCCAAAGCAAGTGATAATCAAGAACAATAGGATAGTAGCCATGGAATTCTACCGCACTGAACAGAACGGTGATGATTGGGTAGAAGATGACGATCAGATAACTAGAATCAAAGCAGACTTTGTGATTTCTGCATTTGGGTCCGGTTTGTTTGATCCAAAAGTAAAGGCTGCTATGCATCCTTTGAAGTTTAACAAATACGGATTGCCTGAAGTTGATACCACCAGCATGAAAACTTCTGCCCCAGGTGTTTTCTGCGGAGGAGATCTAGCGGGAGTCGCCCAAACTACAGTAGAGTCTGTGAACGACGGAAAGATAGCGGCTTGGTTCATCCACAAGTTCATCCAAGAATCTCACGGATTTGGAGATTTTGTACCAAAAACTCCGCAGCTTCCTAAATTCCATAGTTCAATAGATGACGTGGACATTAGCGTAGAATTCTGTGGATTGAAATTCGAGAATCCCTTTGGGTTAGCTTCAGCACCTCCTGCAACAACCAGTGCAATGATCAGAAGATCTTTTGAAGCTGGCTGGGGATTCACAGTTACTAAAACTTTTGGGCTGGATAAAGATCTTGTGACGAATGTCTCACCAAGGATAATCAGAGGAACTACTTCTGGGCACAATTACGGACCAGGACAAGGTAGCTTCCTGAATATTGAACTGATCTCTGAGAAGACAGCCGCTTATTGGTGCCGCAGTATCAGCGAATTGAAAAGAGACTTTCCGGAGAAGATTGTGATTGCGAGCATCATGTGCTCTTTTAATCAGGATGATTGGGTCGAATTGGCGAAGCAGGCAGAAGCTGCTGGGTCGGATGCGTTGGAATTGAACCTTTCGTGCCCGCATGGAATGGGGGAGTCAGGAATGGGCTTAGCTTGTGGTCAAGATCCCTATTTGGTTCGTGAAATATCAATTTGGGTGAAATCAACGGTTAGAATTCCAGTTTTTGTGAAGCTAACGCCGAATATTACGGATATTGTGGCGATTGCTACGGCGGCTTATGAAGGAGGTGCTGATGGAGTTTCGGCGATCAATACTGTTTCAGGTTTTTAAAAAGGATTTTTTATACGTAGATAAGTAACAATATCCTTATAACTTAAGGAGATCGAAGAAATTTTTAAAACTTCCTGAAAATTTGTAAATTCAATCTACGTAGCCTAATATTCAATGCAATTAACGATTTAAGGCAGTTTGGGCTCTAAATGACTTCAACTTGACCCCATATTTTTTTATATTCATTCGAAAGATTATGATTCAATAAATCTATAGAAAAAAAATCAGATTTTTATACCACACCGTTTAAAAGATATAATTAATTAAAGTTTTGCAAAAATACACGATCTCTTATGAGTGTCCTTGTTCAATAACTCCGGAAATGGAGGATTTATAAAAAATCGGCCAACTTGACCCAATAAAAAAAAACTTTCCAATAGATAGAACAATGTTTCATACATATTCTATCAAAATTTTATAACGATTTACCACATAGTTTTAATTTAATTAATTTTTTAATATCAAAAATTGGTTTCTTTCTTTGTTGTTTGTCGGAGACATTACTCCCCCATCTTTATTAGGGAAAAAATGGCGACTTCTCGGTGCGCGGCAAATTTGAAATTGAAATATAATCATAAAGTTTTTTTGGATTAAAATAAATTGTTATTAAGCATACATTAAAAGTTGAGGTAAATTATAGCAGATTTAATATATTGAAGTGATATTTGCAAATTTAAACAATATAAATTAACACCATATGAGCAACTGTTTTAAGTACCGACCTTACATAACCTATAACAGTTGTTATTGTTTTGTGACAACCCAGTACTTGTCAGTTGATATTTTAATAATTATATTATTATAATTATTTAATCATAATTATCAATTGAATTTATTAAATTAAATTCTGACTAGAAATAATTTTATTAAATATTAAATATAATTTAACCTTAATTACATACTTAACAATGTTTCAGGTTTAATGGGCTTAAGGTCTGACGGAACTCCTTGGCCTTCAGTAGGAAGCGCAAAAGCTACAACTTACGGCGGAGTTTCTGGAAACGCCACGCGACCTCAGGCGCTGCGCGCCATTTCTAGCATCGCGAAGAAACTCCCGGGATTCCCAATACTCGGAATAGGTGGCGTAGACTCCGCAGATGTTGCTTTACAATTCATTCAATGCGGAGCTTCTGTAGTTCAAATTTGCAGCGCGATACAGAACCAGGATTTCACTTTAATTGATGATTACACAACTGGGTTGAAAACTTTGTTGTATTTATCAGCTTTGGAGCACACTAACGCTTGGGAAGGGCAAAGCCCGCCAACTTTCAAACATCAGAAAGGCAAACCTGTTCTCTTCCATCCTCTGGGGGATCATGTTCCTTTTTTTGGAGAGTATCAGGTCTTGAGGGAAAAAGCTATGGCTGAAATCAGGGCTAAGGCAGATCCCTTGGAGGTTTTTGAAGAAAATAATGGAAAAAATGAATTTGTAGGGCCTGTTTTGAAGATTAAAGATTTTGTGGGGAAAGCTTTGCCTAATATTACGACTTATAAGCAATTGGATAATAAAAAACAAGTTGTGGCACTGATTGATGATGACTTGTGTATCAATTGTGGGAAGTGCTATATGACTTGTGCTGACTCTGGGTACCAAGCTATTGAATTTAATGCTGAAACTCACATTCCTAAGGTTAATGACGATTGTACTGGGTGCACTTTGTGCTTATCTGTTTGTCCTATTATAGATTGTATTACTATGGTGCCTAAAACTATTCCGCATGTTATTAAACGAGGTATTTACGTTAATAACAATTAACAGCAACAATTAGATGGTAAAAATATTAATAAATAATTGTTTAATAATAAAAGTGAATTTTTATTATAATTTCTGTAATGTAAATTAAAATTTATATTAAAATTAAAATAATAAATATGTCTGAAAATTTCTATCAAATTTTTCTTACCTTAATAATTTTAATTCTATAAAATTGGAAATAGTCTACTGTCTCGCCACTGGAATATTTTTGGTGATGACTGATTAAATTCATACTCGAGACATCTTCTTTTATAAATTCTAAATAATGAAGAAAATTTGTGACTTTAATAATTTTTTTACCGTATTGCACGCCTCATAAGCGAAGCGGATGAGGTTGTGCTCTACTACAAAAATTAAGCGATTTCTTGAACTAAAATTCTCTCTATTTATTTTCTCACACTTGTAGAATAATATTTAGACATTAATGTCACGGAAAAACACTACTTTAACACTTATGAAATTTTGTTTTTTAATTAAATAAATAAAAAAAAGAAGGCTAATAACGCGACTCGACTGCATCTATGTAAGTAAGGTTAGTTTACAACACATGCGCAGTACCTGCTTTTTCTATATGGACAATGGCGCGAAAGATTTAAAAGTAAGTATTTGTATTTTATTTTAATTAATTTGATGATGGAAAATGAAATTATGAGACGTGCAATTTTAGATTTTTCAAACTTTTTTTTTTATAAATACTGCCTTACCCGCCGTATTTAATGCAGCGTTTTAATGGATAGTCAAAAATATAACACTGAGGTGCTAATATATTAAAATATTTTATTCCTACTTGGTACGACGGTGGGGTGGATACTAATTTTAAACAATTATAAAATTGATTGTCACACTCACATGATGATCTAAAAGAGAATTTTATTTAATTAAAATGCTTCAATATAAGTTAAGTAAATATTTTTTCTGAATTACTAGATTTTTTTTTTTTTATCAAAAGAAGAAATGAATACGTTGAAAAAAAAAATTTTTTTTCAAATAAATGGGCAATGTTGTAATAAAAAATTTAAAATTTTAAACAATTTTATTTTTTAACTGAAGAAATACAAATTTTTCTCAAAATAATTTTTTTGTAAAGTAAGTTTTAAAGAAAAAAAAAAAATTTTAGATAAAAATTTGCAAGTTGTCTAATTAAAATTGTTCTTTTTTAATCTAAAAGAATTTTTTTTCAACAAAAAAGTTATTGTAAGAAAGATTTTTATTTCTTCACCTAAAAAATAAATTTATTAAAAATTAAAATTGATATACCGAGTGAATAAACCTTCATTATAAAGCGTTTTAAAATATCCACCAGCTACAATGCTATTATCACAATTATCATGTTTCCTACAACATTCATCTGTATTACTAAACACCCCTAAATCTGATTGATCTTCTGCGATATTTCCCTTACCGCACCATTTAGTCCCTGGAAGAAATAAAAGCAGGTAATAAATTTAATAAAATTTCTTTTTAAATTTAATTGAAATAAAAAAATATTTATAATCCATTTTTTTTTTTACCTGGAACAATAAAATTAAATGGAGCTTTTACAATAGAGCCGATTTCACTCAGTAGATATTGACCGAAATTAAAAATAAATCTACGTTCTTTATTTTCATTATTACGGCTCGTATGACTACTACATAAATAAAACGGCTTTTTAATCAACAAAATTAGAATAAAAATTATTACTTTTCGACTAATGTCCTGAAGAAAACAATAATTGATTATTATTACTACAGAAGAAATTATAATATGTAATAATCTTTAATAATATTTTATAAATGCGAAATACCATTATTATTGTACTTGTAGAATTTTATCATTTTCATTATGAATAATGAAATTTGAAAAAAATTATTTTAAAATTTACTTTAAATAATTAAATAAATAAATTAAAAAAAAATTGCAGTTTTAAAAATGAAAATCTTATTTCAAAAGAAGTTATTTGTACTGAGAATAATATTTAAGTCTTACTTTTAAACAAAAAAACCATATCTTATGATTTATTCATTTTTTTACGCTCTGTAATAACTGATATAAGATTTAAAGCAATTAAATGTCAATCATATGCTTTTGCAATAAATATAACTTCAATAATGTTTAAATAAATTTATTTAATTTTTAAACTAGAGTTATTTTTAATATAAATTTTTTAAATTTATTTTTAATTTAATTATTTAAAATTTAACTTGTTGTTTTATAAAAAAAATTTTTTTTTTAATTTTTCACTATTTAAATAATTAAAATAACTTCTTAATAATTTTAAATTAAATATTTAATGAGTTTTTTAATGAAAATAAAATACAATAAATTATTTCTTCAGAAAAATAATGGATTATCTCTTGTTTCTATTCTCATCCGTGCGTTTGTGTCGATTTGATACTTAAGACATCTTCTTTGCAGTACTCTATTTTCAAAAAAAAATAAAAAAAAAACAAAGTATATTACAATAATAAATAATTATTTTTTAATTAAATTAGTATTACCCTTGAAATCTAATGCAGTATACGCTAGGATGATCATAAGTGTAGCATTTCGGGCGAATAATAGAAAAATACAATCTTCCAAGATTGCGCGATAAAAAAGTGTTAGCTCTTCTCAAACAAAAATAAAACTCGCTCTCACATTTACAAACTGGTCTGTAAATTATTTAACTTAAATATTTTTATATAAATTTATTAATTAAAAATTGTATATTTATAATTACTTTCCGAAAAACTTCGAAGCCATGTCTTTTTGGGATTCAAAGTGCAGCAAGACTTCTTTGTGTTTAAATCCGCACAAATCACGATTTCTGCAACATGTATCGGTTTTATGGAACTGACCTACATCATCTTCTTGAATGGCTACATTTCCAACACCACACCATAAACTTCCTGAAGATTAAAAAAAAATAATTTTATAATTAACTTTCTTACAAATATTTTTTATTATATATTTATACAAATTTTAATTAAGTAAATTTAAAGGAAAAAAAAAATGCTAAATAACTAAAAATTTTTATTTTCAATAAAAGGAAATTTAATATTAAAATCATTCATTTATTTATTACATTAATATAATACAATAAGATTTAAAAAAAAAATTTTTTTAAACCTACTATAATTTCTTCTGAAGAAATAAAATTTTATTTTTAATAAAAAAATGTTCTATTAAAAAAAAAAGTTTTATTAATTAAAAAATTATTAATATTTATAAAAAATAAAATATAATTTAAGTTACCTGGTACTAATAATCTTCGTTTTCGATTAATATAATTAACACTGTTATTAAATTTATCAACTTTGTATTTAAACTCATTTATAATTGTTAAATTTTTTGATGTATCTTTTATGGATGCAGCAGCTGAATTTATCAATATTAAATTCCAAAATATAAAGATCATATATACTCGGAAAAATTTCATATTAAAATTTTTATTAATAAAATCTTTATTACACAATTTTTTTTATCATACTGCGCTTAGTTACATTAAAAACTAAGTAAAGCTATTATACTAAGCGAATTTTAATCTTGATATTGTAATATAGAGTGTTTGAAAGATTAAATTTATTTCTTAAAAGTTTTCTTGTACAGTGCTGGTAAATTGAGCTATGAAGTACATTTAGATGTCAGCTAACTTAATTTTTATGAATGAAAATTAAATATTATAAATTATAATAATTAAAAACTTTTTAATTATTATTAAAACAGCTTTTAGATATACATAAAATAATATTCATAAAAGCTAAGAAAATAAAAACAAAAATAGAATTTATCCTTTATTTAAAATTTCAACATAATTAGGACTGTCCTTCCATTGTATAATTTTTTTTTGCGATTTATCATACTTGTATTCAAGGCATTTTCTGCCTGTGATGTCTAATACACTAAAAAATTAAAATAAAAAATTATTAGTGAATTAGTAAATAAATAAATAAATTGTAAAACTCATTCATAAATCTACAAGCTAAATTTACCTTGACTTGCTTATACAAGTCACAGGAAAATTATAATCAATGCATTGAGGTCCTAAAACTGTGAAATAAGTAACACCAATTTCTCTAGCAATTGGATTATTTGCTGCTTTTAAACAATTGTAAAAATCTTGATCACAAGCGCACCAGGATCTAAGGATTAAAAAATGGAATTTTATTAATAAAATTAAAATTAATTAATAAAATTAATTTGAAATTTTGTAATAAATACCTAGTAAATGCACCATTGTTTTTTAAAGGACCTAAGGTCTCTCCGCTTTCAAGATTAAAAGGACACTTGTCGTGTTGTCGACAGCAAGCATCTGTATGTTTAAATGGACCTAGGTCAGTGTCATCGCGAGCTATATTGCCATCACCACACCAACGAGTACCTGAATAATTATTTATTATTATTATTATTATTATTATTATAAAGAGTCAAAATTTTTGCCGCAATTTTAAAATAAATTAAATTTTTAATATTACGGCGAAAATATTGTTCCTATAAAAAAATTTACCAAAAAAAAGTTGTTCAAATTTAATTTTCTAAAAAAAATGTCTTAATTTTTGTAGAATTAAATTTTGAACAACTTTTTTGTTAAAAAAAAATTTTATAGGACCAATATTTTTGGCATAATATAAAAAATTTGAAAAAATTTTTGATAAAAATCTTAGCGCTAATTATTAGTAATTAATCATGTAAAAACAATATTATTTTTTAAACTATTAGTGCAAATAATTAGCAGAACATATGCATAAATATATCCCTGATTCAAAAAGATGATTTAAAATGATTACCTTCATGTTAATTGTAAATCTATATACCTAGTATTTAAATCCGATACATTTAAATCATTTAAAGAAATTTTTAAAATTTGAAAGAAAAGAAAATAAATGTTTAGTAATTAATAATTGATAGAATATATCTGATAATTTATAATCATTATTTTTGATAATTAGTATGAAAAAAATCAAAATTTACCTGGAAATATTGCACGAATTTTGCTACTATACTGTCTTACAAAATCACTGAATTTAATTTTAGGAGTAGACTCTTGACTATCTGAATCCAAATTATTCGTCCATTTTTTAGGTATCCAAGATTTAATTTTTTTGACCGATCCTTTGATACCCGCAAGCCCCTCTTCAATCGTAGACAACCTCGTAGACTTTTGATCAAATTCTTCAAAATTATTTCCCGAATAAATTTCCAAAATTTCTTCAAGTTCCTTTTGGTTTGATTCAACAAGTCCTCCAGCAATAAGAACAGTATTTATTTGAACTGATAAATACACAAAAAAAATTACGCGCATTCCAAAAGTTATGGAAGCTCCCATAGTGTTAAAATTTGAAAAGTAACTTAAGAGCTCTTTAATTTAACGTGTATATTTTTAATAGGTTGAGATTTTTATTTATATACACAAAAAACAATAAATATTATCTTGCTTATTTAATGCGTGACAAGTGTGTCATATTAATATAACTATTAACTGCCGTGAAGAAATATCGCGCTTTATAAAAGGCCTTGTAAATAAAAAAATATTTTTTACATTGCAGACATTTAACTACATGACTTATTTAATAGAACATGTTTTTTTGCTAAAACAATGATGAATGTGTCCAACAATAAAACAATAATTTTACAATTTACAATATGTCTTTTTATGACACAAATGTTTTTTATTTATCTTCTGGAAAATATTTCAAGCGTTATTGTTAATTTATTATTAAAATAAATCAATAAAAAATTCAAAATATTTTCATTGCAATTAAAAATATTTATTTAAAACAATTTACATGTTTTATTTCTTCATAGAATAATTTTAAAATTTAAATTTTCTTTTCAAGAAAATTTTGAAGAATGCTCCAGATAAAAAATGGTCAAAAATTGAAAATTAAATGTTTAATAAGTTGGACTGTCTTTCCATTGTATAAATTTTTCCTTTGATGTGTCAGGCTCGTACTTAGCGAGCATCTTTTCCATAAAAATGACCTAAGCACAATAAAAAATTAATTATCAGTTTTATTAAATTTAACAATCTTATTACGAAAGTCAAAAAGTTATGTTATTAAAATTCTTTATATTTGTTAAAAATGCTAGCCGTAAGATGGACGGTGTGGCTTAATGTATATAGAATAAGTGAAAGGAAATTTAGTATAGACCGGATAGCTTAAATGGTAGAGTAGCCGACATGTCTTCGGAAGGTTCTGGGTTCAAATCCCAGTCCGAGCTATCTAATAATTTTTTCTCGCATATTCTATAAACTCACATTAAGAAGTCTTTCCTACCAATTATGTATCCTGTTACGTGAATGTTGGAACGCTTCACGTAATAAATTATCCGAACAAAAACAGTTTCACTGTAAAAAAAATCGCGCCAAGTCCACGTTCATAAGACTATTAAGAAAAAAAAATTAGTTTTTTCTTTACAAAAAGATATAAAATAAAAAAATTAAAAAAATCCAAAGTAACCGGTAAATTTAAAAATTAAAAAAACAATTTTGGAACGTATTTAGTGTGCGTTGTTGCGAAATATTTTACTTTTAATTAAATTTCGTAAAATCTATTTACTAGGACTTTAAAAAAATTGAAATGCACAATATGACGCACACCAAGTACGTTCCAAAATTGTTTTTTTAATTTTTAAATTTACAACAAAATTTTTTTTAATTTCCGAAAATTATAAACAATCATATCGGTTACTTGGATTTTTTTAATTTTTTTATTTTATATCTTTTTGTAAAGAAAAAACTAATTTTTTTTTTCTTAATAGTCTTATGAACGTGGACTTGGCGCGATTTTTTTACAGTGAAATTGTTTTTGTTGGCTGCATTTTTTTATAGCAAACTATTCTCTTGAAGCTACAGTTTATGTAAAAATAATTCCAGCGCACCCTGGCGGGTGTAGATGCAAGCTGTGAAATATTTTTTTTTAACTGTAGTTTCCCATCTAATGAAGGATTACTATGCATTCTCGAATTATTTAGTCTGTGGCAGATCACTTTACCCATCAAAAAAAAGTCAGGATCGAAATTTTTGCGTTACTATAGTTTGTGCTGATCAAATTTAGTAATTTAAAGTAGATTAATTGTTATAAGTGAATATAATTAATTAATAACAGTAAAAATAAAGTATGAATTACTGTTATAATATACAATTTAGAAAAAAAAAAAAGTACCGTAGAATTAAATAAAATTTTGCAACCTCAAAATACCGTTCTGCTTACAGTAAACACAGTCGGTAGTCTGGCGCTCCGTTGACAACGGATTTGAACGGAACTTGGCGCCAAATTCTACCGAATCTGTGGATCCGTAACTCCTATTCTTTCCCGCTTCACAGCATTATTTATATTTGTTAAAAATGTGGAACGCTTCACGATTTTGCGTGTCATCCTTGCGCGGGGATTAAGTTATTTTTCGGGTAATGTAATAAATAATATAATTTGCTTTGTAAATAATTGACTAAAATATTTAAATGCGTCAATATATTCGAATAAGGTTGTTGATGATTCTGATTTGGTACCAACAAAATTGTCTTTTATTGAAAGAGGAGCCAATCATTTCAAAAACTCTAAAATAGTCAAAGGTGTTAAGGTAGGTATTGCCAAAGTAAGAGCTGGAGTTAGAAAATTAGGCTCGTGGATATCGAATAAGCCATGGAGAAAAGATGATCATCCTTCAGAAGCTCCACAGCCTGATTCAAAGAAAGAATTAAATGACTTAATGAACGAACACAAAAGCAAGCTTCAAAAGCAATATTTCCCGGTAAGTTTTTCTTCTTTTTATTATGAAAAAATTTTGGAATTTTAAAAAGTTTCCAGCTTGAGTGTGATTTTTGCCCAAGTCTGGATTAATTACAAAAGTTATTGCAATTTAATGATAAATACTTTTTATTCAGGTACTCGTTGGTGTGGTGACGGTAATAAGGCTAGCAACTACGAAGAATTGGGTCTGTTTAAGCATACCGATGCCTGCTGTCGACAACATGACAACTGTCCATTGGGGATCGGAAGTGGAAAGAGCTTAGGACTTTTGTTAAACAATGCTGGATTTACAAGGTACCTGTTGAACAACTTCAAATCAGTGATTATTTTTTATTAATAAAATTCCATTTTTTAATCCTTAGATCCTGGTGCGCTTGCGACCAAGATTTCTACAATTGTTTGAAAGCGGCAAATAATCCAGTTGCTAGAGAAATTGGTGTTACTTATTTCACAGTTTTAGCACCTCAATGCATCGATTACAACTATCCAGCAAAGTGCACTAATTTAACAAGGTAACTATAATTTCCAAATTTTAGAAACACACTTTCTGACTTTCTTTTCAAGGTACACGGAAAAAAGTAAACTCTAATAAATAACAGTTAATTTATAATAAGTAATGATCAACTGCTAAAAAATACCATTTCAAACAGTAAAATCCTGATTTTACTATTTACTTTATAATATTTATCATTTAAACGTTACAATTTACTGTTTACATGGAAAAAAATACTATTTCAAACAGTAATATTCGCTATGTAAATGTCGAAAATATTTAAGTATAATAATTAATAACAATTTAGACTTTGATATTTATCATTTGGTACCTAAAAAATGATGTTATGATATGTAAAAAGTATAAAATAAAGTTAGTAAATTTCTAATAATACAAGCAACGTCAATATTTACAAAGTAAAATGGTAAATTTTAAACGCAACGCTAAAAATCAAACTGTAATTATTGTTTCAAATGTTAAATTCTCCCAGAGTGAGACCCCCTTTTCTTTCATCTGAGTTCCCCTTCTTCTCATAATATTAACTATATATTGAAATGGCAATTTTTACTGTTTGAAACTGTAATTTTTTAAGATGAAAGAGTCGTTATTTACTATAGTGACAACTATCACTTATTTTGGATATTTATTTATTCAAAAAAACAAACCCAACAGCCTAAGCCATTAACAGGGTTACTAGATACATTATTAGTTATTTTAAATTTTATATAATTAAAATAAAACAAAATGCCTTAACTAACTTGCTATACAATGCGTATTATTGAGCTAAGTTCCGCTGATTACAAAAACAGAAAAAAATAATAAAAAAATAAACAATACTTTAGTGTTTTGCAGGCGATAACAACAAAGAAAAAAAAGTAAAAAATTGTTTTTAGATCTATGATCAAAACACTGCATTAAATATTTGATTTTTATCATAAAATAGTTCACAGAAATAATTAGGATTAGAGCTAGTAGATAGATAGATCAGACCAGTCTGTTTCTCTCAGAACAGTGATTCGAAGAGACTCATCATATTTTCTAAAGTTAAAGTTAAGTTAAATTTATGCGAACTTGAGTTCTCATCAGATAAACTGTCCAGTTTTTTATTTAGATTAAAGCCAATAACATCCAGTCTGATCTCTCTACGTTAAATATTTTATTTGACAAAACTAGATCTGAACAGTAATTTTGATAATTCATGACAAGATTATATTATTCAAATTTCAACAGATTATTAGTCATTCAAATGCGCAGATCGTGCGTCAAACAGTAGTTTAGCTTGATGTTTAAGAAACTTATTAATATTAAAATCACCCGCAATAACAATTTTACAGCCGACTTTACTCAAAAGTTTAGACAATGAATCTAAAAATTCACTGAACACTTTAATACTGAGTATAGCGATGGATCAAACAGCTCATTTGAGTATATATGAGGTGTAAGCCAAATTTGTTTTGATATTAGATGGAAAAATTCGCCAGTAAAATACTATTATGAAGCGTTGTTGACTTTGTTTTGACTCAGAACCACAGTCCGAGCAGACTGAACAATAGTCTGTTGAGTCCCCCTGGTAACTATTCTCAGGTTCTTCTCTCCTGCTTGTGAACGACGCCTCATTTCCTCCTTCAGTGCTAAGTACTCCTTCCTCTGGGTTGGAGTTTGGTCTCTTGCAATTGTCAAGTGCTTAAAATAATGCTTATTAAATTATAAATATTGGCTTTTATACTTTCTACATTAAGTTCTGTAATATTTATATTTTTGCCATCCCGACGTCCGCTTTACTGTTTGAAACTATAACAAATTAACCGGAATCCAAGTGAATATTACAGTTTACTTTTTTCCGTGTATGATCACAAAATTTTATAAAATTCTAACTATTTTTAGGTAGATTTCTTTAGAAATCTATCTATTGTAGCCGGTCTCATATCGTAATTTTTATAAAATTTTGTCATAATATGTTTCATTTCATCGAGTAATGTCGAAAAATGGCATTGGCTCAAAAGTTTATATATGTATTTATGTATGTATATGTGATATAACGCGCCATGTCAGCAGGATTGCGCCCACAGTTCTCAACCGATCGTCATGAAATTTTGTGAGCTTATTCTGTGGATCAATACCAAGATCAAGTTCGAAGATGAGCAAAATCGGCCGGTTAGTTTACGAGTTGTGGGTGTTAAAAATTTTTTTCATTTTCAAAAAATTTTTGAATTTCGTAGATTTTATGGAAATAATTTTCCAGATTCAGAAGATAGATAAAATCTATCAGATTTATCCTAAACTTCATTTAATTACCTTCAATATAAACTATCATTTGTCTAGTTTTAATGATTTTTTTAATTAATTTCGTGACTTTGAAAATTTTTAAAAATGTTTCAATGAACGTATTTCGGCCTTTCTTTTCAAATAATTTTTAGGTCGTAAAAGATAGCTTAAATCTATTAAATTTATGTTAAAATTTACATAATTATCTTTAATTTGAGCTATTATTCGTCGCTTTTTGATCCATTTTTCAATTTATTTCGTAGTTGGGTTAATTAGTAAAAATCTAAAATAAATGAATGAATTTTTTGCTTTTATTATCTCTTTTATTTTAGGTAGATGTCTTTAAATATCTATTTATTGTAGTCGGTCTCATATCGTTATTTGCAAAATTATGATAAAAAATAGATTTTAGGACATTATTGCCTTTTAATAACGTGTTTTTTTTTAATATTCAAACGAGAAATCTACCTATCCATGTCGGGTATGGCCGAATGGCGCTTTTTTTATTCTGTTTTTAGCGTTTTAGATATATTAGGCAGAAAATGCCTTGAATACGAGTACGATCAAACTAAAGAGAAAGTTTTACAATGGAAGGACACTCCAAATTACGTTGAAGTGCTCAACGGGTGAAAAGTGATAAGAAATTAAATTTACTTTATTTTTTCTTCTTTTTATTCTACTGTTATTGATTGATCAAAATCATGATGGCTCATATTTCTTCCCTTAAACATAAAAATAAATTTTTAAAAGTAACATATATTATGTCGATTGGCGTTCAAATGAATAAATAAATAAATAAATATTATTTATGTAAATATTTGTGTTTTTTATAGATCAATTTTCATTTAAAAAATCTTACTGCTTTTTTTGTCATCAATTTTATTTATAAAAATATAAATTAATAGTTATTTCTTCTTTACTATTAAATAAACTAAAGCCTTTAATTTACCATCGATAATTATAACGTTTATTTAACTGGGATATTTTTTCATACTAATATTAAATATATTTAAAATGTCAATATCATCAATCGATCTTTTATTTGATAAATATGATAAAAAAAAGGTGATAAATCATTTTAAAAATGTTTAGTATCAAACCATTGTAGTTTTTTAGGCTTAGATGTATCGAAATTATATTTAATACATTTTTTTCCAAAATTTCCAACAACTCTGCAAAATAAAAACCATCAAGTTATATAATAATTAAATAATTTATTTTTTTTTTTTTAAACTTACTTTTGATACTCTGCGCATGATTCTATAGGATAATCTAATGCAAAACATTGAGGCTGAATTACATTAAAATAAGTTTCACCGATACTTGTAGCAAGGAAAGACTTGGCTTTTTTTAAACAGCAATAAAATTTGTGGTCACATGAACATGCTGATCTAAATAAATAAAAATTTTTTTATTGTATAAAAAACTATAATTAAAGAAGAAATTTAATTTATTTTTTCTTCAGTCAAATTAAAATTCAAATTCAAAAAAATTATTTTGCAACATTTAATAAGTTATTTTTTTTATACAATTTTTATTTTTTTTTTTTTTTTTTAAATAATTAATCAAATTAGAACTAAAAAATATTTTTTTTAATTCAAAAAAATTATTTTGCAAATTTTAATGTTATTTTTTTCTGTCTAATTAAAAAAAATTTTTTTTTTTTTAATAATTATTCAAATTAAAACTCAAAAATATTCTTTAAAATTTGCACTTATTATTTTTCAATTTAAATAAATCATCAAAATTTTCTATTAATTAAAATTTTTTTTTCCAGAATTTTTGTTGATAAAAATTAAATATTACCTCGTAAAAATTCCATCATTAATTAAAGGCCCCAAAGTTTCTCCAGCTAGAATATTCTTCTTGCAACTATCATGGGTCCGACAGCAACTATCAGTGTCATTAAATACACCAAGATCATCATAATCTGAAGCTATGTTTCCAGGTCCGCACCATTTTGTTCCTAATATTTAAATAATTAAGCTTCAAAAGAAGAAATAATAAAAATAATAATAAAAAGCGGAAAGAAGAAATAAATAAAATCCTCCAAAAGCCAAAGTAGATTTTTTTTCCATCAAGCACTTACAAATTAAATTCCAAAACTTACCCATAAAATAAATTAACAAACCTGGAAAAATTACATGAACTTCTTTTTCAAACTTTTCTAAAATTTCTGAAAATGACTTGCCTATAAAAGTTTGGTTACTCGGTTCCATAGTTGATCCAATATTTTTAATAATTATTTCCACAAAAGATTTGTATGTTCTCTGTTTTTCTTCAGTCACATTTAAATTTGCTTCAATTGATATATTTTTTTGAAAAATAATTATTGTGATTACTCCAAGTACTCCTAGAGTTAAATAAATATTTATCTTAATTATTAATTATAAATTAAATTATTTAAATAAAATAAATACAAACCAAGGTAAAAAAAATTTTTTAGCATTATAAAAAAACTAAATAAAGTAAAAAAATTAAAAAAAAAAAAACAAATGTTAATATTATTAATAATAAAAATTTGTTATTTTTAAATTTATAAATACAAAAAATGAATTTTAATTATAAAGACTGAGTCTTGGAAAAAGTTTCAAGTAATATTGAAGCTAAAAATTAAAATTTATATTATTTATGATGCTAAATATTTGTAACAATTAATTTATAAATATACTTTTATAATCCTTCGTGGAATATATATAATGGTCATCTGATTAAATCTTATCCATTTAATGCAAATATCTTAGTAATAATATTGACTCATATTTTATGTACTTAACTTGGAAAATTAATGTCGAGGCTTAAAACGATTTCAGGAAAATTTAGTGAAGAAAATTTTAGCTTCTTTCAACATTTAATGAGAAAAGTATTTAATTAGTGTTTGAAGTAATACATTTCTTCATTATTATTTTAAGAAACAATTAGTTTTATTACTATAAAAATGAATTAGTTTTATTGCAAAAAAGAATACAAGCAATTTTTTAGAAAAAGTTGAAGCAAAAATTGTTTTTTTTTTAAGATTTTTTGAATGAAGAAATTAGTTAAAGAAGAATATAATCTTCTTTGAAGAAACTTGAATTTTTTTACGATTATTAAATAATTTTTTGAATAATTCATATACATTATAATTGACGGTACATATTAATAGAATATTAAAAACTTTATTATTTAAATGAAGAAGAGCAATAAAAATTTTTAATTAATTAATAAAATATTTTATAATTAAAAATTAATTAACACACACGGAAAGAACAAGATGACACTGGATACCATCTCAGATTATACTCAGTGACATCTGAGGCGAAAAAAATTTCAGATGGTAGCTAGTATAATCCAGATTATACTGAATAATATTTGGATTATACTCATTGTTATCTGAATTATACTAGCTACTATCTGAAATTTTTTTTCACTCAGTATAATCTTCTTCTTTCCGTGTACTCTGTTATTTTATGAAAAATGAAAATTTTGAAGAAATACTCATTTAGAAAATAGAAAAATTTACACAAGTATTTTTTAAAAATTAAAAAAATTTATTTTATTTTAATTACTGTATATTTTAATTCTTTATTTAATAATAATCAATTACTTTATTTAAAAATTTATTAAAATCCAGCAGACTATTAATACTAATAAAAATTAAAAATCTCTTCACTTAATTTTAATAATTAAAAATCCGGATTATCAAGCCATTGAAGCGTAAAATTTTTCGATATATCAACTTGATATTGAGTACACTTCCTTTCAAACAGCCTTTTTCTGTAAAAATAAAAAATTTTATTGAGATATATATCAATAAAAAAATTATAAACTACAAAATAATTATAAATATACCCTCCGTATTCAGCACAAGACACAATTGAATATCCGTAATAAATACACTGAGGTCCTAGAAATGTAAAAAAAGTATGACCAATTTCTTTAGCGATTGGGTTGTTGGCGTTCTTCAAACATTGATAAAATGCATTATCACAGGCACACCATGACCTTAAATTAAATAAAATCTTATTATATAATACAAATATATAATTAATTTTTTTTATTGAATAGGCTCCGAAGCTTGAAAAACTATAAAGTGCAATTTTTAAAAAATATTTTTTAATTCTAATTAAATAAATAAATGTAAAAAAAAAAAAAAATCAAAAATTTAAATAATAATAATATATTTTAATTAAATAATATCTTTTTTATTGCATTTTACCTTGTAAAAGCGCCATTATTAATCAAAGGACCAAAACTTTTTCCACTTTGTATATTAAACGGACATCGGTCATGATTTCTGCAGCAAGTATCAGTACTTTCAAAAAAACCTCTATCTTCTTCACTCTTAGCTCTGTTTCCGTCACCGCACCACCTAGTGCCTTAAAATAATAGCTTTTTAATTTAATCATCCACAGAAAAAAATAAACAATATTTATAATAATAAATTAATTTTTTAGATTTTTTTTTATAATTAAATTAGAACAAAAAAATATTTTTAAAAAATTCCATTTAAAGTTTTTTACAAGTTAAAATTTTTTTGTAATAATTTTTTCAATAAAAAAAATTCTAAATATTTTTAAATGTCGACTAGCTTGATTTTTTTGTTCAAAAAAAATTTTTATTTCTTCAGCTAAAGAAATAAAATTTTTAACAAATTAATTTTTTATTTTTTTAGCTAAAAAAATAAAACACTTTAATTTTTTATTACAAAATTGTTCTTTTTTTTTTTTTTTTTCAAAAAAACAAAGAAGAAATAATTAAATTAATCAATTATTTGGACAAGATAAAAAATGAATTAACGATTAAACTTATTAAAATAAAAATTGTTTATAAAATATCATAAACTCAGTTATCAATTTACGACTTATAAAGTAATTACGCAAACAGATAAAATAAATCTGATAATCATCTCTTCATTATAATTATCTTATATAAATATCAACTAATTAAATTACCAGGGTATATTAATCGAAGCTGATCTTTGTGCTCGTTCAAAAAAGCTCCAAATCCTTTTCCAGCTTCAGTTGCGACTTTTACAACAGGCTTGAGAATACTCTTCACAGAATTCTTAATAAATCCTGTAATTCCAGAAGATTCTTCAGGATTTGATGTAGAATTTTCATTAAATAATTTAGCGACACTTTTTGCGCCTTGGATTAATTTTTCCACACTATTTTTATTTGTTTCTATGCTTGGTTCTAAATTGTAATTAGAGTACTTTTCAATTATTGTTGTGTAATCTGGACCTTCTGAAGCTGTTAATTGACTGTGAATTTTTTTTGGGCTAAATATTATAATTAATATAATAAAATAAATAATATTGCACATTTTTACTGCAGAATAATACTTGTTGAGTGTAATAGAAGATTGAAAACTCACAGATTACTCAAGAAATGGTTAAATAATACTGCATCTCTTAATTGATATTATCTTATGTCATAAATATTCTTCAATTAATGAATTACTGTGCATTCATGTTGTTTATGATCTTTATTGTGTTATGTAATATATTCACTCATTATTTTCTTTTATTATTGTATTAATTAATAATTGCCTTACAAGAAAATAATAATAATATTTATAATTATAATTTTAGAGAAAAAAAAAAAATTTTTCATAAAAAATTTCTTAAACAAAATATAATTTTTTTTTTTTATCCTATCCTTTTTTTTTTTTAAGCTATCCTTGTAATAAAAATTTTTACAATTTTTAAAAAAGTGTTTAATATTTAACACAAAATTTTTTAACATGAAGAAATATTCTTTAAAAACTTTTTTATAATTTAATTTTTTGTCTAATTAATTTAAATTATTTTAATAATTTTTAAATTATTTAATTAAAGCTACTTATTTATTTTATTATAATTTTATAATAATAAAAATAAATATTGATATTTTATTATTAAAAAATTAGATTAAATTTGTTAATTTTATAAAATTTTTTAAATCATTTAAAATTTGATTTTTTTTTACAAAAAAAAAAAAAGTGAACTTTTTTTTTTAAAGTGAGTCTGGATAATATTTTTATTAATTTAATTTAATATTCACTTTAACTAATTAGTTGAACTTTTTAATAGTGTAAAAAATGAATAAGACATTCGAAGGATCTAAAAAAATTGTAAATAAATTTTATTAAGAGTAAATTATTATGTAAGAAATGAAATTTTTTAAACTTACACTGACAAATAATTGCAAAGATAACTTCATCAATGGACCAGCAGTAAAAATAATTGATTTATTGAATCGAGTGATCAATAATCCTAATGATTTGTTATAACTTTTATGAAATTTCCACCAATGGCCGGAAAATGCAGCCGTACCGATACTTGCGCTCTTAAATAAATTTTAATTTGTTTATTTAATCATCTGTATATAATTATTAAAATAATAATAATAATAATTTCAAATTTAATAACAATTTTTAATATTCATCTTATTTATAATATTTCTAAAATAAATAAAATATTAATTTAAGTAATCAAATTAAATAAGCTCATATCTTTAAAAATGCCATTAATATTTATGTTCAATTTAATTTAAAGATTAAGTGATGAATTATTAATTATAGTACAAACCTGCAATTCAAGTTCATTACCGTGGTAACAATATATAAAAATCTGGTAAGTCATACAACATAAGTATACCATCATACCAAAAAATTCCACTGGTATAAAAACCGTCATTTGTGTAATATGAAATGCGCTGATGCAAATAATAAGACAATTAGCCGTCAATTGAAGTAAAATAACAATTCCAAAAATATTTTCTATTTCTTTAACAAAACTAAAATAATTTATATTTTTTAGCATAATTTTTTGGGTGTTAATTTTTCTAGATAAAGTTAAAGGATATTCTGGTTTAGAAATTTGAAAAAAATGATTTTTTTCATATTTTCAAAGCTTAAACCTTTAAGAATATTTCTTTAGAAAGATTTTAGAAAATTCAAATTATTTTTGATAAAAATAATGATTTTTTATCATAAGATTTAATAAATATTTATTCAGTTAATAAATTATTTATTAGACGATTTATTAAATGTATTTTCCTTCCAAATAAATATTTATTGAATGTTAAAAAATATTTATTAAAATTTAATAAATTAAATAATTGTCTTCAAATAAATTAAATTATTAATAGTTAATAAATCCTTCTATTGGTGTATAAAAAAATGAATAATAAAAATATTGATTGCCTTTTTTTTTTTTACAACACTTCAAAATTTATCTTAAATTTAAGCTTCTAGACCAGAAAACCCCCTCAACAATTCCTTACTTGTAAATTTCATTACTGTGTTCAATAATCCGATTGATTTGTTTGTTCAAAAAATCTTTTTCATTTTTTTCACCGACACAATAATCTCCAAACTCAATATCAATATTTTTCAAATTCTGCTTAATAATTTCTAATTGACAGCACGCAGCATTAATTAATCCAGTTATCAAAGTGTCCATACCAATATTATGAAAACAAGCTATAATAACTGCAATTGCTTGATGACCGGAAGTAATTTCAAAAGCGGGGCTTTTTTTTGTGTCATAAGGATACCAAGCTTCCATTGGCGGACGTCTTGTGTTTCCTGCAATTGCATCGGCAATTGGAGTTGCTCCCCAACAAGAAACGGCAACTGTTCCAAAACTTTGATACGCTGCATGGTGAAGCAATCCTTGCCATGCGTAATAAGTAAACACGCGTTCGTATTTATCTTCGTTGGAATAATAATTTACTGTTGAAAGCTTATCTAAAAGAACTTGAATCCCTTTTTGGTTTTTAAGTATTACAAATACCTTTATTAAAAATAATTTTTTTTATTAAATATTGGTTAATAAAAGTAGATCAATTTTTTTGAGAAACTGGGGCATAGTTCTTTAGAATTTTTATTTCTAGTCAATTTATGATGATAAGTATTTGAACTCTATCTCTAGATACATAAGAAATGATCTTGTATCTTGAGAAATATTGACATTTTTAAAGATATAAGCTCATTTTGATGTTACACTCATCGAGAGCTTTCATTTGAATACCCACATCAATTTTTCATATATTTTATATATATTATATATATATGTATATATGAAAAATATATCAAAAACTCATGTGGGTACTTAAATAAAAGCTCTGCATGAGTGTAACACCAAGATGAGCTTATATCTTAAAAAATGTCAATAATTAAGAAATTACCTTGTATCTTGTGAAATATTGACATTTTTAAAGATATAAGCTCATTTTGATGTTACACTCATCGAGAGCTTTCATTTGAATACCCACATCAATTTTTCATATATTTTATATATATTATATATATATGTATATATGAAAAATATATCAAAAATTCATGTGGGTACTCAAATGAAAGCTCTCGATGAGTATAACATCAAGATGAGCTTATATCTTTAAAATATATATTATATATATATATGTATATATGAAAAATATATCAAAAGTGCTTGTGGGTACTCAAATGAAAGCTCTTGATAAGTGTAACATCAAGATGAGCTTATATCTTTAAAAACTTAATTCAATATTTAAGAAAATACAGTACAATTTAAAAAGACATTATCTAATATAACAAAATTTTATTTATTTATAATTCACAAGGCAGTCACGTAGTGACTGCTAAGTTACTAATTTTTATTTAATTTTCATTTAAAAAATCCACTTTTCAAACTAGTAAACACTTTTATTCATTCCTTAAATTAAAAATTTAATTTTTTCTCAAATTAAAATAAAAAATTATTTTAAAATAATTTTTTTTAGTATAAAAAAAAAATCCTTTTTTTTTTTTTTTCAATTTTACTCCCTTTAAAAATAAAAATTTCTAAATTTTTCAAGCCCCAGTTTCACTTTAATAAAAAAAATTAAATAATATTAATAACCTTATAAGCATGAATACTATTAGTCATCAATAAAAAAGCAGTAGCAATCATAAGTTCAATATTTCCCCAAATTACAAACAAATTAACAGTTTGTACCGTCAAATAAATTCCAAGAATAAAAATAAAACTCAAAAAAGTATAGAAGAAATAAATAGTTCTATAAGGTTCCAACACCGGCGGCCAAGTTCCGATGTACTTTGTTAAAGTAAGAGATACTTTAATGTTATAATAAGGCTGTAAATGCCGCAATTTAATCCTATCTAATTCCATAATTATTTTTAATGTTAAATTAATTAAGAAAGTTTAAACTCCGACTGAGACTCGATTGCGACTGAACCTCTGAGAAATCAAAGGCTTTGGACAGTTTAATAATTCAAGAAATGAAATTTGAAGGCAGAGATAATATAGGTCTTTTGTCTTCTCTGTAATGTATTCAGTAATTATCTATTGGAAATTGTAGTAACATTTACCAACATCTGAGGAAAGGAAATTTCGTAAATATCGTGTGTGTATTATACTACAGTCGTTATAATTACTAATTTATAATACGTAACTTGTAATCACGCTAACGCTATTAGTTCAAGTCTGTAATTTATTTTGATAATACGTTGGCTTCTATAGAATCTATATACCTCTATATCTCTATCTTAAAATTGTATATAGATAGAAATTTTTATATTTAATATATTTCGTAATATCTTCTTCAATTATTTTAAAGTTCGTTTAAATACACAGAAGGATAAAATTAAGGATTTTATTTTTTTTTATAATTGTGAAATATTTCTTCAATATTTTTATTAAATTTTATAAAGAAGAAATAGCTTCTTTCTTATTCACTTAATTTATTTTTTTCAAATAATTTTAAAATGTTTCTTCAATATTTTTATAAAATATTACAAAGAAGAAATAGATTTTTTTATTTTTATTCACTAAAAATCAGGTATGTCGTACCATTCAAGGGTTTTATTACTTGAATAATCTAATTTATATTGAACACACTTTTTTTCAGTCCGTCTTGAGCTGAAAATAAAAGAATTTATTTTTTTATTATAAATTATAAATATTGATTGAGTTTAAGCTTAAAAAATTAATAAATTTTTTTTTAACTTAACTTTGCAGTATATAAGAATTTTATACACTTTAATTATTCATCACATGTCATTTAATATTTAAAATTGAACAATTTTTATGATAATGAAATTTTTGGCATTGATTATATTTATATAAAGAATTTTTTATTTTTTATAAAAAAATTAAATAATTTTTATGACTGGATTTTTTTTTTTATTTTTGGCATTAATTAAATTTATAAAAAAAAAATTTTTTTATCAACAAATTAAAATTATTCATAAAAACAATTTTTTATAAAAAAAATTGAAATTAATTTTTTTATCATAAAAACAAAATTATTAAAATTCTTACCTATCATACTTCTCACAAGACATAATTGGGTAATGAAAACCAAAACATTGTGGTCTTAAAATATTGAAGTACGTTGTACCTATATTTGCTGATATAAGCGTATTGACTTTTTTCAAACATTTATAAAATTCATAATCACACGAGCATGCTGATCTTGAGTCAGAAAATAAAGAATAAAAAATTAATAATTTATCCTAAAATTATTAAAAAAAAATTATTAAATATAAAAGAAGAAATCCAAAAATCAGAAAAGAAGTAATAAAATTCTGTGAATTAAAAAAAATTAAATTTATATTAAAAATTAAATAAATTTTTAAATACAAAAGAAGATATCCGAAAATCAGAAAAGAAAAAATAAGAAAGAAGAAATAAAATTTTGAATTAAAAAAAATAAAAATTAAATGAATTATTAAATAAAATTTTTTTGCTAAATATACTTGCAATAAAACACTTGTTAATTTATAAATAAAACATTTTAAAAAATCGCTTTAATTTTATATTAATTATTTAAAATAAATTAAAAATAATTACCGAGTAAAAATTCCAATATTTTTTAATGATCCCATACTTTCGCCAGCTTGAATTGAGTAAGGACATGAATCATGTTGCCGACAACAAATATCAGTTTGTGAAAAGACTCCAATATCATCATTTTTTCTTGCTAAATTTCCACTACCACACCACAAAGTTCCTTAATTAATTAAAATATTAATGAAAATTCAATTAAAAAAAATTATTGATTAATATTTAATAAAAAAAAAAAAAATATTTACCAGGAAAAATAGCTTGAAAATCATCTCTAAATATATTTAAAATATCACCAAAGCCTCTTTCAGTACTTTCATTCGCTTCATTAATTTTAGTAGCATTAGGCCGTAGTAAAAAAATTCTAAATGACTCAGGTAAATAAGAAATAATAACTTCAACGATCCCATTAGTATCAGATCGTTGAATAGTAGCTAAAATAACTTGAAAAAATTTTTCTATTCCTGATCTGTATGTTAATTTCATATCGATTTCATTATCAATGTAGTCATACGATAAATCATTGTTTAATTTACTACTATTGTTATTATTATTATTATTATTATTATTATCAATTAATATTTCTTCACTGTCAATAAAATTAACCATTTGATGAATTATTAAAAATTTTATAAAAACATGAATCATAATGCATCTATAAAAATTAATTTTTTAGTAATCAATTAATTAAATTATAAAACACTTATTTAATTAATTAATTACCTGCAGGAGTATGGTTATTTATAAAAAGTTAATAAATATTATTTAATATTTATGGCGCAGTTACTTTCAAGTCTGAGCGAATACAGACATTCTTATAAGTGACAGCCAACTCTTTTATACAATCAGCGAGAATCGAGAAAGAAACCACAAGTGAACAGTTTATGAGTTGTAATAAAAGACTTATTGAAAAATATTACTTTTATATTTAGTAATAATATTGTAGGAGTTCATTTTTCAATACTATTTTATTTCTATTGCTTTTGTTGAAGAAAAAAAAATTTTAACACGGTAAAAAGTGTTATTAATTATTGTACATTTTATCTGGTGTGTCATCACAATTAATGTATGCTTATATTTATTTTATTTTTTCAAGTATTATTTACTTACTCATATTTGTTTACTTGTCGGTTTAACAGTAGGTCAAGAGCATTCACTTTTTGGTCTAAGAACGGATAAAGTCTCTTTACCTCCAAGGTCATTAAACTTAATGCTTGTTAAAATAATAAATATGTATAATTGTAAAAGTTGTAATTAATTGTTGCTTTAGAAAGTTTTGTTTATGTTCGTGTAATGCAATTATTATTATTGTGTACTTAAATATTTTTTTTTAATTAAAAAAAAATTTTTTTTTTCTAAGTTTAAATTATTTGTTCTTATAAACATTAATTGGCTGTTAAAATTGTATTAAGAAATAATTTTTTGTTACACAGCCGCTAATTTTATGTACATCAAAACTTACAATTATAAAAAAAAATTAATATATAAATTTTTATTATTGATAAAATTTTAAGGGGGATAGCCACTGTGAGATTTCAAAAAAAAAAATTGTTTTTTAAAAACGAGTTTCAGATTCGTACTTTTAACTACGCGCCATTTTGTCGAATATTTTTTTTTTTTTTCATTCTAGTTCCGACGATAACTATACTTATATATACTAATTAAAAATCAATCATTTTTTTTTAATTTTAGAGGGAGAGATCAATCTACCTTCACCAGTCCGGTACATTTTTTTTTTTTTTTTGAGAGGGGAACTTCAGTGTCATTTTTCTAATTAAAAAAAAATTTTTTTTTTGTTTTGATTTTCATTTTTGTGTAGTTGATAAGTAATAGAATAAGTGTAAAAAAATTTGAAAGCATTAGTTTTTACCTTCATATAGAAATAAAATTTTTTTGAACTGGTGGAATCTGTAATTTGCATAAATATGAACCGATTTGCAACTTTTTTTTTTTTTTTCGTATTTGTTTATTCAGTGGCTATACTTGCACGTAGGGAATTTTGAAAATTTTGATTTTCAAGATTTTTTGAGGCTGTTTGATTGCAAAAAAAATGAGAAAAAAAAAAAAAGAAAAAATTTTTAATGTCACCATTTTTTTCTTTATTATCCCAGTTAAAAAAATTCCAGAAAATCACCTATTTTTTTTATCCCTCTTAAATTGATAAAAAAAACATTTTTAAAAATAAAATATTCATTTTACTAACACTTAATATTATGTAATTGAAGTTAAAAAAAAATCCCGCACAATAAATAAATAAATTAATTATTAGAAAAAAAATTAAAGTTTGATATATGCAATTATGTAAAAATGATAACATTGATAAAAATTAAAAATTAACTATCAATATCATCTTCTTTATTTTGATCATTATTTGTCGACCGTCTTTTTTCAATACGTGCGCACTTTGGGCAACAGTGATTTCTTTTAGACCAACAAGCTCGGTGATGGACGGCATTGCATTGCTGACATAAAATAGCACTTGGATCCCATGGATATATTACTTCATTATTGCCACAAATTTCACATAAATGCCCACTAAAAAAATTATTTCACTTTAACTTGGTCGTGCCAATGAGAAAGCGGATCGATAAATCGCAAAAAATTGGTCAGTGAAAGACCAGATATTTACCTCAATTCTAGTTTAATTTAAAGTATAATCAACTATAGTTATATAGATATAGATATAAATATATTTTAAATGTTTTCATTTTTTTTTTTTTAATAATTTAAATCACGAATTTTTTCAGTAATGAGATAAAATATTCAGACATTTTTTAGATTGAAAAATTATATTACCAATAAAATTAATTTCAAAAGATTAAATTGAGATTAAAAATTATATTTTTAATTTTAATTAATTAAAATACTTACCGGGCTCGACATAATTCACATGATTCAGTAATATGCTCCCGCATTAAATCGTAAGCTCCACGAATTTCATCCATTAACACTCCATTGTGAAAATCGACGAGATCTTTTATTGAATAATTACCAGAATTTTCAATCATATGTGTACGTAATCCAATACGCCATGGTAATCCTTGTATATCAGCTTCCGGGCAAAATACTAAATATTTTTTCATCATTTGTAACTCTTCACGTAATTTCTGAAATAAATTATTTATTAATTCAATTTAAAATTAATAATTTAATTTAATATAATGAGAAAAAATTTATTTTTAAAAAAATGAAGAAGAAATTAATTTGTTGAAAAAAAATTTTTTATAAACAATTTTCATCCAAAATTTAAGAAGCTTTTTTTAACAAGAAAATTGCAGTAAAAAATTTTTTTATTTCTCAGCTACACGGAAAGAACAAGATGATACTGGATACCATCTCAGATTATACTCAGTGACATCTGAGGTGAAAAAAAAAATTTCAGATGGTAGCTAGTATAATCCAGATTGTACTGAATAATATCTGGATTATACTCATTGTAACCTGGATTATACTCATTGTTATCTGGATTATACTAGCTACTATCTGGAAATTTTTTTTCACTCCATATAATCTGGAATTATATCCAGTATAATCTTGTTCTTTCCGTGTAAGAATTAAAATTTTTTAAAAATTAAGAAAGAAATTTTTAAAAAATTGAGAAATAAATTTTAAAAAAAATTAAAAAACAAATTTTTTTTCTATGTAAAAAAAAGTACTTATAAAAAAAAAATAAATATTAATTACTTTTATAAGCGATAGATCAGGTACTAATTCAAATAATTTAGGATTTAATTGTTCTAATAAAAGAACAGGACGTTCATTTAATAATTGTAAAAGCTGTGCTGCTAGTCTGCTAACACGCTTAGGCTCCATATCCCAATTTCTTATTACTCTTGCAGGAATCACAGCCATTGTATTCCAATGACAACGCTGACAATAATACAACCCAGTATAATCACACAGTCGTGGTTCTACCCAAGCAGATTCTGAAATTAAAATTGTTTAGTAATTAAATATAAATAATGTAATGTAATGTAATTTATTTACTGGCTGTAGAAGTAATAAAAATATAATTGATGGCAAACATTTTAATTAAATAAAGTGAATACCTGGTTGTTTGAAAGGACTGCCAAAACATGGTAATGACAATCCTTTTAATGCAGCTTGTAATTAAAAATTAACTATTTTATTATTATGTAATTAGGCAGAATATTTTTTTCCTTATTTGATTTTTTAATATGAAAAATTATTTAAATATTATTATATAATAATTTTAATATTACAATTATGATCTATATACACATGTAATTACGTTGATAATTCTAGTAAAGTGAAAGGTAGAATTATTCATTTTTTAATTTATCTTTCAATTGCATTTTTAATAGTTAGAAAATTTGATAAATTTAATCTCATTTAAAATTGAATAATTTTTAATTAGGTATACTTCAAAATTTTTTTTTTTAAATATAAAAAAGTAACTTACTAAATGTTAAACGAGTATGACATTCAGCACACTTATATCCTTGAGCAGATAAACCTTTTTCAGGGCATATTTCTTTTGTAAAAATATAACCACCGGCTTCACTAGCTAACACGTGAGCGCAAACACGTCTTATGTCGGTGATACATTTCCAATGACATGAAAAACCGCAATCTAAAATAATTAAAATTATTTAATTATTTTTTTCCTGAATAATTATTAATGAAACTAAAATTAGCCGACGTTCAACAATTCTTAATTTTTTTTCAACAATTAAATTACAAACAAATAATAATTTTTATATTTAATAAAAATTTTCAGATGTCAGCTAATTTAAGTTTCATAAAATATTAAAAATTAAATAAATTACCATTACACATATACCAAGATTGTAACATCATCCAGATAGTACCACTGCAATGGTCGCAATAAAGAGGCCCAGTGCTTGGAATTTGATATTTTTGTGGTACCAAATGATGACCTAGAATAACTTGTGTTTCAAATAAATTAACATCTGATGATTCTCGTAATTCTTGAGCACGTAATCTCAGTTCGATTAATCGTCTAACAAGCCATTTACGTTCATCAGTACATTCTTGACTATCTAATATCATTTGTTTACACTTTTCAATCATTTCATTGAGATCCTCTTGCGTTGCGGTCTGTAAATAAATTTAATCATTAAAAAATCAAAACTTAATTTTTTTATTAATTAAATTAGAATAAAAAAAAAAAGATTTTTTAAATTAATTTTCTCAATGTACAATTTTAAATTTATTTTTTTGTAATAATTTTTTATTAATAAAAAAAAATAGGATAAATGCACCAGTTGTTGACCGGTCACCAATTAGTTGACCGATGTATAAAAAAGTTAATTAATTAATATTTTACAAGGGTTTTTTTTTTTTCTTAAAGTTTAAAATAAAAAAATATGGCATTTAATCATCATAATAAAAAATTACGCAATTAATTGCGCAGTGATTATAGATTTAAAAAAATATTCTGAGTTTGTTTACAACGCAACCAGCCATAAAGCGGTCAAAAATAACTACCGTACAATTGGAGAGTGAGTGCATTTCATAATTAATTTAGTGATATTTATCGGCACAATATCAAATATTTTAGTTTTATTATGTTAATTAAACATCAGATTCCAACTTTTTTGAAAAAATAAAGTTAAATTATAAGTTTCAATATTATTTTAAGACCGGTCAACTATTGGATCCGTCAGAAGCCATTTACCCAGTAAAAAATTCATCCGGTCATTTATTAGACCCTCTGATTTTATCACAATCCAATTAATCACCGTATATTTATAATACTAACTTCTTAAACTCAAAATTAAATCTGTCAAGTGTTTTTGTTAATTTTTATTATAAATAGTTATTAATTATTATTAATTAAGTATTTAACTTTAATAAAATCCATTACAAATTGTTTTTAGTAGGTTAATAGATTTTTTATAGCTTAGTACAGAAAAAGAAAACCTTAATCGGTCAATAATTGGTGCATTTACCCTAATTAATAATTTTTTTTAATTTTCACACTTAGAATTTTTTAATAAAATTTTTTAATTAAAATAAATTGTTTCTTACCTTGGATAAAGATAACAAAGATTCAACAGACTTTAAACTGAATGGAACATTAATTTTACCTTCAGAATTGTCATCAATATCATGAGTAACATTATCAGACACTGATGATGATGGAGTTGATCCAGTTAAACTATTAGTATCATAATTAAGGTCTGAACTATTACTTGTGTTTATTGATGATTCTGCCATTATTATTATTATTTTTAAATAAATATTATAAATTTAAAATTAATATATTTTTACTTTTTCAGATTTTTAACTATTTACAAATAACTTTATTATTATTTACAAATGTGACTTTTTATTAAATCAACCACTAGACAACAACAACAACAACAACATAACCATGAGACACTAGTTGACAAGTTCATGTTTGCAGTGTGAAGTCAGTTAGTATATACAGTTTCAAAAACATGAACACAGCTGATAGTAAAATCGATTGTTTTTATAATACTGAAGTTAGCTGACAGCTGTCAATTTTTTAATTTTTATAACAAGTCAATTGTAATTAAAAAAATTCTTAATAATAATAATTATTATTATTATTATTAATTATTAGTCATTATTATAACTATAATTATAATTATTAATGAATTGTTTTTTAAGTAATTGATTTATTAGAAAAATTTTAAAAATTGACAGATATCAGCTGACTTCAGTATCATAAATTTTTGGATTGTTACAATTTGTATATTATCAAAGAAATTTATTAAAAAATAAATTAATGAGTAGAAAAAAAAAAAATAAGTAAAAATTTTATTATTATAATTAATAAATTTATTACAAAAAATTCATATATTTTTTTTTTTTGGTTAATTAAACTTCAAAATCATAAAACTAAAGTTATAGCCATGAAAATTATTAATGAGAATTAAGTTAGCCGACATCGAAAAGTTTAAGATTTTTTTTTTTTTGAAAAAATGATTTAAAAAAAATTTCACTTGTAAAAAATTTTAAAAACTGTAAGTGCAATTTTTAAAAAATATTTTTTTGTTCTAATTTAACTATTAGAAAAAAATTCAAAATATTAAAATCGTCGGCTAACTTTAGTATTATAAGTCAGGCGACATTTTTAATTTTTTTTAATTATTAAATTATAACTAAAAAATATTTTTTAAAAACTAAAAAATATTTTCAAGTTTTTTACAAATAAATTTTTTTTTTATTTTGCAATAATTTAAAAAAAAAAAAAATTTTTAAACATCTCATAAATTTATAATAATAAAGTTAGCCTACATTTTGTAATTTATTAAATAACTAAAAAATATTTTGAAAAAATTGCACTTATAGTTTTTGAAGTTTTTTACAAGTGAAAATTTTTTTGTAATAATTTTTTCAATAAAAAAATAATTCTAAAAATTTTTTCCATGCCAGCTAACTTAATTTTCATAAATTTAAGTATATAATTATACAAAAAATTTATTTTACAATTTTTTTTTTTACTTAAGGTATCAAAAATTTATATATTTTATTCCTCATAAATTTACCTTTAATTATAAATCTACTAGATGGCATCTATAAATAAATAATATTGATGACAATTTTAAAATTGTAACTATCATTAGTCTATCTTATCAATTTTTATTACTGTACTAACTCTATAAATTTGTACGTTAAAATTTTATCTTTATGACCATAAACGTGTTAACAAAAGTCACGTACTTTTTATTCCAGGAATAAAATGATGACCAGTCATACTTTTGCCTCAACATTAACTAACAGTAAAAAAATTATATAAAAATGTTTTCCATGACTACAAAAAATTTGCTAATTTTAATTAACATTTTTTTTATTGCAGTAAAAATAAACTGTACAATAATTCCGTTTGAAAAATTATCTCTCGGCGATACAATAGATGAAACATTTGCTGTAGTCTATGGAAACATTATAAATTCCAATAACGAAATACCTTCCATTATTAAATCATTGACAAAATCTGTTAAAAATCTTCCAACGTGGTCAACAGCACAATTCACATGTTCAAAAACTCTAAACTCACTTTTTGAAGATTCGGTTGAAGAAAAAAACTTGTTTAAAAAATTCGACAAGCGGAAAATTAATGATCAATTATTTAATATTGATAAAAAATATTTAAATAATAATCACACGTGTTTGCTCTTTGAATTGTGTAAATCTGAGAAGCAGACCTACGAAGAATTTGTTAATATCTTTGAAGAAAAATATTTTGATAAACATTATGATGATTATTATTGGTATCATGAATATCGTCCCCAAGGAAAACATATTGAGATTCTTAAATTTATTAGAGGCAATGAAACTCATTTTGTATCGGCTATTCACAATGGAGATTGTTTATATCAGGTATAAAATTTTTATCTTTAATTAATTTTATTTTCTGCACAAAAAATTTTTTTAAATTTGAACTTGATAGAAATTTTTTTTTATTCCTGTGATTAGATAAGCTAAAAATAAATCAAGCACGTGGTTATTTTTTACTTTTTACTTTACTATACTGAGAAGAAAATTTTTTTTTGGAAAAAAAGTGGTATTGTATTAAAAAATTAATTTTTTTGAAATTTCAATTTTCAACTGAAGAAATAAAAATTTTTTTTTGTTGAAAAAAAAAGTTTTTATTTGGAATAAAAATAATTTTAGATAGAAAACTTATTGCAAATTTTCTTTAATTTTAATTTTATCTCTAAAAATAAAATTGTTTAAAATTTAAAACATCCGTGACTTGTAAACTATAAATAAATAAAATTTTGCTTTGTTAAATAGTGACTTTTGTTAAATTACACTGTACTTTCTTAAATATTGACATTTTTTAAGATATAAACTCATTTTGATGTTACACTCATCAAGAGCTTTCATTTGAGTACCCACATGCATCTTTGATATATTTTTCATATATACATATATATAATATATATAAATATATAAAATATATATGAATAATTGATGTGGGTACTCAAATGAAAGGTCTCGATGAGTATAACATCGGAATGAGTTTACATCTTTAAAAATGTCAATAGTTCACAAAATACAATGTAATTTCTTAATTATTGACATTTTTTAAGATACAAACTCATTTTGATGTTACACTCATCGAGAGCTTTCATTTAAGTACCCACATGACATTTTCAATATATTTTTCATATATACATATATATAAATATATAAAATATATGAAAAATTGATGTAGGTACTCAAATGAAAGGTCTCGATGAGTGTAACATCAGGATGAGCTTATATCTTTAAAAATGTCAATAGTTCACTAGATACAAGGTCATTTCTTAATTATGTACTTAGAGATAGAGTTTTTTCGAATGCAGCCTGTGCAATTTTTTTGGATATTTTTAAAATATAAATATCAAACTTAAAAAAAAAATTTGTCTTCTAAAGAAATAAAATTTTACAAAATTCCTGATCCTTAATAATAAAATCAATTTTTTTTCTAAACTAATAAATATTCGAATTTTCAGATTTTCATCTTCAACACTGAATCAGAAAATACTTCAGCAGAAATTGATTATAAAAAAAAAACGCCAGAGTATACAAGTAAAATAAAAATGGCGAGTGATAATCATATCTTTGAAGAATCACTGACGTACTCCTTAAATACTTCACATATTTTTCTATTCAATTTTCCAAATATTCCATTAAAAGTAACACATGAGGTCTTAAATTATTTATCACTTTATAATGTAATGAGCGTCGAATTAACTGCGCTACCTAAATTGCCCAGGTCGTTAGAGTTTAAAGAAGATGAAATTGAGTCGCCAAAAAAACGATCAAAGTTGGTGGAGCTAGAAGCGGGTGATAGCTTCAATATTAATGATCTAATATCAAATTCAGTTTTAAAAAGTAGAAACATGCTGGATTTTAAAATATTTAACAGCATAGAATACAGCAACCCGTACAGTCTTCAAGTAACAAATTATTCCGACATAATTATGGATAGATCATTACCTTGTCGCGAATTCGTAACAAAGTACTTTGGCGATAAAAATAATAAGGATTATGAAAAATTGAAACCTTTTAATTGTTTGCTTGAAGAAAAATCTTATGGAATTGATGAAAAATTTTTTAATGAAAATTATACACGCGATGAAATAAAAATCTGTTTGGTTCTTGAAGAACAAAAAATGGGTATTGATCCTTTAGAAATTGTTTATTTGAATGAGAAGACTGTTGATGGTGATTATAATATTTTTGAAAATGAAAATGTTGTACTGAGATTTAGAAAAAGTAATGAAACTCATTATGTTTCGTCGATTCAATTTGGTAACTGCTTATATCAGGTAATTAATTTATAAAATTTTATTTTATTTTATTTTATTTCATTAATTAAATTAGAACTAAAAAATATTTTGCACTTACAGTTTTTCAAATTTTTTTACAAATTAAATTTTTTTGTAATTTTTTCAATAAAAAAAATTCTTAAATATAGCAAGAAAAATTTATTTAAAAAATTTCTATCATTAGAAACTCTAAAAAATTATAAATGCAATTTTTTTGCAATAATTTTCTGGATCTAGTTCCTTTTTCAAGATAAATTGAAAAAAATTTTCAAGTATCTGCTAATTTCAGTGTCATATTTTTAAATAAAAATTAAATTAGCCGATGTCTAAAAATTTCTATAATTTTTTTTATTAAAAAAAATTTTTTTTTTCAAATTTCGCATTTAGAAAATTTGAAAAATTATACACGGAAAGAACAAGATGACACTGGATACCATCTCAGATTATACTCAGTGACATCTAAGGTGAAAAAAAATTTCAGATGGTAGCTAGTATAACCCAGATTATACTGAATAATATCTGGATTATACTCATTGTTATCTGGATTATACTAGCTACTAAGATTATACTGAATAATATCTGGATTATACTCATTGTTATCTGGATTATACTAGCTACTATCTGAAATTTTTTTTCACTCCATATAATCTGGGATTATATCCAGTATAATCTTGTTCTTTCCGTGTACGTGGCTAATTTTGATATCATATATTTTTATACTAATATTGCAATAACTTTTTTTTCAGGCATTAGTATACAATTTGGATGATCAAAAAAAGCCTGTTCATAAAGGAAAAATATTGTCTGCTAGCAGAAATAGTGACCTTGAAAAAACAATTGAAGATTATTTAAATAATAGTAAAATTGATAGTCTTTATAATATTTATTCTAATGAAAAATTAAAAAATGAAATAATTGAAAGATTAGATAAAGAAGCGGTTGTAAATATTGATCTACGTTCGATTAACAAAAAGCGCTCTCTACCACTATTAACTCTAAGTGAATATAATAATTTAAAAAAAAATTCATCTGAAAATTTACCTATTAAGACCCCAGAAGTATCTCAAGAATTATTGACTGCAATTTTTAAAAATTTGTCTGAACCAAATGAAGCTTTCAAAACTTTTATACAAGACTTGTTTACTGCAACCTTTAAAAATATGTCTCAAGATTTATTTCCTGGAGCGCTAGAAAATTTATCCACTGAATCTCCAGATGATTTTCTAGCTGATGCTTCAAAAAATTCTTTACAAGAATTGCTAACTGATACTTTTAATAATTCTTTAAAAAATTCTAGTACAGAAATTTTGAAGAAAAAAAATTCATCACAAGAATTGTTAACTGATACTTCTAATAATTCTAGGACAGAAACTTTAAAGAGAAAAAATTCATCAAATTCAATGCAACCTTCATTACTAAGTCTAGTACTAATTTTAACAACTGTCTATATGTATTATTAATTATTAATACCATTTAAATTAATTTCTAAAAAATTTTTAGTTGCAATTTTTATCACTGGAATAAAAATTTTTATACACTAAAATTTTATTTATAAGAAAAATAAGTTTAACGGTGTAAATAATCGATATTGTTTATAAAAATTAATTTATTGCTAAATTAATCTGAAAAATCATTAAAATTATATACATAATTAATAATTAAGAAATATTTAAAAAAATAAAAATTTTTCTATATCAATTGCTTTATTTTCATTTATTTATTTATTTTTTTATAATTTAAATTCACTATTAACTTAAATAATACTCAATCTAGATAACTTATCCGGTACATTCGCTTATATTTAAGTTCAATTAATTGGTAGTGTATTGACCTACGAACGCTTAGAATCAATATCAGAAAACATCGTCCGTTTTAGACATTGTGTGCGTTTGTATAAACTTTTCTAATAAATCTAAAGCTCTTTCTTTAAATTGACAATCTTCCTCTGCCTTTTGGGCTTTAAAAGCCATCAATTCTCTAAACCGACGTTCCTTATTGTCTTCACTTATTTTTGATCGCTCTTCTATTAAAGTTAATAACCGACCCATAGGTGAATTCTTTATTCTTTCCTCTGTAAGCAAGAACATTATAGTATTAAAAGTACACTAATTTCTGTAAAAAAGTAAAATTATAATCACCGGTTGAAGAATCGTCCGAATCACTATTACAGGGTATACTTCTGCTACTTTCATCACTGGATTCAGATGATGTTCTCACTTTGCTTCCAGTTAAAGAGCAAGTACCAGCTGATGAGATAGGACGTTCATCCTCCACCTGGTCATCATCCATGAACTGAAGAAATTAACGTAATTTATCGTTTTTCATAAATATAATTAGTTGGAATTTATTAGTTAAGCTTACAGTCGAGTGCGACAACTGATTGGTAGACTCCCTAGACTCATTATTATGGTCTTCTATATTTTTGTCAGTTTTCTCTATTTCTGACAACTTTGGCTCGCATCGAAAACCTGCTAGTTGAAAGATATAAGAATTGATTTTATCTTTCATTTGCTGGTAATTTGACGTTTGAGTAGATTTATCTCTTCTAAATTCTCGTCGACTTATTGCTGCATCAGCTTTCAGAATTTGTAATTCAATAGGTCCATAAAAATCTGCAAAAAATAATTAACTGCACCATGATTTTTATTTATATGCTTTGGTATTAAATTACCATAATTTGTATGATATGGAGACTCAATAGAATATCCGTAAAAGCAATCTTCAAATTTGATGCCATGATTTGTTTCTACGTCTTGATCTAAACATTATAATTTATATTAAATAACAATTAAATTACCAACAGAAACTCTTACTTTTATTATCTTCGTGAGATTCTTCTCAAATTATGTAAAACATTTCATGCAGATTGAACTCAAAAATAAAATAAAACTTACCTTTTTCTAAATTTTTTTCCTCTTCAAGTTTTGGACCTACGAAAATTTCGTCTGAAAATAATAAAAATCCAAATTTTTTTTTTTTAGTAGCATTGCAATTGAAAAAATTTACTTACTCAGTTATTTAAATATAAAGAATAAATAGAATTGTAGGAGAAATAATATTTCTAGCTGTATAAAAATACAATTTTATTTTTAAGCAAACACAAAACGATAATATATATATATATATATATTTTTCTAAATTTATAATTTATAACAAAATGCGTACCTGCTTTAAGACACTCAGGTTCATCACAGGTAACAGGAGTAGCGTCTTTTTGATTTGATTCTGAGTCAGTCAACTTTTCAGTAGATAAATTGTTTAGTCCAGAGAGTTCCATTTTACACGCTTTTTATTAGCTTCACTTTATTACGTTTTTCAGTTAATAATTTTAGCTTGGTTTTCTATAAGCGTATTTTTGAATTTTTTTAAACTATTATTTACTTTTTTATTGGATCTTAAACAATTTTACTTTTATTTGATTTAGCGCTTACGCTTTTGATACCTTACCTCCGACGCTCAAGGGACAAATGGACAATTTGATGCTGAGCAATGCTCAGCGTCAAATAAGATGGCGTGGTATAATTTGGACTGAAGCGCCATCTTAAATTAATGCAGCGTCAAAGCTTAACACTGTTTGGCTTTTTAAATCGGGTATTTAAATTTAGCGCGCTTAAAATGTGTGAGCGTCGACGCGAATGCACCCTTCATTACCGACATTTGACAATGGACATAAATAAATAATAAAATAATAAAATAAACACTACACACTGCTTGGAGGTTAGTTTCAAAAATGCGCTCTTTATATTATTAATTAATATTTAAATAAATATTAATTAAAAATTATACTTATGATATATTAATTCATATTTATGAATTTAAATTAACAACATATTTTTTTTTTCAGGTACTTAATAAAAATATTCCTGAATAATTTACAAAATATTTTATGGAGTACTGTGTTTTGATAAATATTCAACAATTTTATTAGGTATTTATTTAAATATTCTTAAGTTAAATAGTAATTTTTCTTTCCCACTAGAAGAACTAATTTTTATGAAAATTAATTTGGCAGATATTTTATAATTTTAAGAATTTTTGTAACAAATAAATTTTGGCAAAAAATATGAAAAAAAAAAAAAAATTGACATATAGAAATTGAAAAAAAAAACAAATTTGTTAAAAAAAATTTTTTTTAATGGTGTGATTGTTAATTTTAATGTCATATTTTAAAAAATCTTCTAATTTTCTTTGTTGATTTTATTATTATACTAGATAAGTTTCCAATTTTATTGAAAAGCTAATTAATGTATACTAGCAACCTTGCAGTCACTATGTGACTGCCGTGACTTGTGAACTATAAATAAATAAAATTTTGCTTTATTAAATAATGATAATGACTTTTCATTAAATTGCATTGTACTTTCTTAAATATTGACATTTTTAAAGATATAAGCTCATCTTGATGTTACACTCATCAAGAGCTTTCATTTGAGTACCCACATGGCATTGTTGATATATTTTTCATATATACATATATATATATATATATAATATAAATATATGAAAAATTGATGTGGGTACTCAAATGAAAGGCCTCGATGAGTGTAACATCAAGGTGAGCTTATATCTTTAAAAATGTCAATAGTTCACAAGATATAAGGTCATTTCTTAATTATTGACATTTTTTAAGATATAAACTCATTTTTAAATTACACTCATCGAGAGCTTTCATTTAAGTACCCACATGGCATTTTTGATATATTTATCATATATACATATATATAATATATATAAATATATAAAATATATGAAAAATTGATGTGGGTACTCAAATGAAAAGCCTCGATGAGTGTAACATCAAGATGAGCTTTTTTTTTTTTTTTTGGGCGAGAGGAGGGAAATCTTCATAGACACCGGCTAGATGTTGTTGATGTTGGTTGCCGGTAGTGTGAGATTCTTACTCACTAAAACCCTCCCCTCTCTTATACCTGATACTGCGGAACCGCGTTAGCATTACTTCGCAGTACCAGGCCCCCTCCACGCTGCTCCTGCAGCTTATTCCTCCGTTTCTTCTTATTCCTCTGCTTCCTCTTCTTCCTCCTCTTTCCTCTTCTCCATCAGGACCTCTCTTACATATCCCGTCATTGCTGCTCAGTTGTCAATCGACTTCAGCATCCAAGGGACGACGTCTTCAGGCCTTCGAGGCACTTCCTTCTCTTCCCGCCAGCGCAGCCGTATTTCAGACCAACGCTGGCACTCAAAAAAGGTGTGCTCAGCAGAGTCAGCAACTCCCGGACAGTAAACACAGTAAGGATCGTTTCGGATCCCCATACGATGTAGGTAGGCACTGAACTGTCCATGCCCAGCAAGGAACTGCGTAAGATAGTAGTCTACTTCCCCGCAGTCCCTCAGTACCCAGTCACGGATCTGTCCAATAAGCCTATACGTCCAACGCCCTGTTTCCCCAGTTTCCCAGCGCTCTTGCCAGAGCGCAAAGGTCTCCTCACGTTCACGGGTTCTCACGTCTTTCAGAGGTCCTTCGCCAGCCCGTCGGGCATCCCAGATCCGTTTCCTCTCAAGACCTAGTAGGTCAATTGGAATTACACCCGAGATGACCAACACAGCTGCCTCTGAGACCGTTCGATAGGCGCAGGCTATCCTCAGCGCACCTCTTCGTTGTACCGATGCCAGTTGCTTCCGATATTTCTCTACTTTGAGTGACTCTCCCCATATCTCTACTCCGTAGAGCATGATCGAGTTAGCGACACCCATGAGAGCTCGTCTGCGGCTGCTCCTTGGTCCCCCGACATTTGGCATAAGCCGGGAAAGATTTACCACCGTCGTTGCTGCTCTTGTGGCCACACTGACAATCTGGTCTCGAAACGTCAATTTCGAGTCGATTGTCACTCCGAGGTATTTCAGGGCCCCCCGACTAATGTCAGGGTGAGCTTATATCTTTAGAAATGTCAATAGTTCACAAGATACGAGGTCATTTCTTAATTATTGATATTTTTAAAGATGTAA